TTCTGAAAACAAACATGTATAACATAATATTAGTTTCCCAAAAAATATGAAGCAGCCCAATCATCTTCAACACTAATAATAAGAATTTTTTTTTTTCAGCATCAAATCAGCATATTAGAATGATTTCTGCAGGATAATGTGACACAGAAGACATCAGTAATCATGCTGAAAATTCAGCTTTGACATCACAAGAATAAATTATAATTTAAAATATATTAAAATAGAAAACAGTTCTTTTCAATTGTAATGATATTTCACAATATTACTGTTTTTACTTAGCCTAGAAATCTAGACGCACCCTAGTGGCAGCAAAAATTATTTCGCAGCCAGTGTGATCTAGCAAGTCTCCATAGACGTTTTAGCTGAAAAAAACAAACTCTGGTCAGGCCAATCACATCGTGTATAGAGTCGGCGGGCAGGCTTAACATAATGACGACAGAGTTGCTTTTAAGCTTTTCTTTGAAACCAGAAAAAAGAACAGCACTTGAGTCATTTAAAAAAAAAAAAAGATGTGTTCAGAGTTTTGCCGAATAGATACAGTAAAAATTTAATATATCAATTTGCTCCGCTGGTGGGAAAACACATGGGACTCAGCCGTCACCTTCTTGGTTGCTCTGATTGGTTGTAGAGCTATCCAATTGCGTGCAGAGAGAATTTGAAAGACAACCATTTATCCCGCCCCTCCGATTGAGCCCGGTCAATGATGAGTTCCCAGACCTAACATCTTGATGTAGGTCTAGCATGACAGGCAAGTTTTTACTGTATTTTTGATCAAATAATAGAGGCCTTGTTGAGACTTCTTTCAAAAACACGTCCAAACTTTTGAATGATAGTGTATGTTGCAATTATCAAGTAATAATTAAGTCAACTGTATGTACTAAATTAAACAAGATGTTAAAACTTACAGTATGCAACAAGAGAACTGTTAATTACACAACCAGAAGTATGTACTTACTTTCTAAGAATCTGGTTGCTGTAGGGAATACTATTTTCTGAATACTTACTTCACCCTCTCCTTCGAGTCACCAAAGGTCTCTTTCAAGTTGTTGAGGTCTGGATAGTAGCTGGCTGGGGGAGAAATGACCTCCAGTAACCCAGAATTCAGTTCAGTGTAGAACCTTAAAGACAAGGATAGCCAAGAATAACGATTAGCAAGTTATCAAAACCATTAGGTTAAATGTACAATTTAGATCATTATCATGTAAAACAAAACTTGAGGAAGTGGCAAAAGAAAATGTCACTTACTCTTTTTCAAGGCCTGCAACCACACTGTTTACATAATCTACGTCCGTCTGTGAGGAAGCAAACAAAGAACAGGTCAGCACACACACACACACAAGCAAAGGCTCGGCACAAATACAGGTGGAGTAGCAACTAAACGTAAATCCTGACAGCCTGGAAAAATATGAGAATTGAGTGACTGCCCTGGGATGTTTGTTATCTCGGTGGGGAGGATGAATTGTCTTTTCTAACTGATTTTGTCCAGCCTACACCATGTGTGGGAGAGAGTAAAACTCCAGCGAATGATGTGGGAAGGGATATCCTCTCTTGTACACTGGACAAAAAAAGACATGTTGATGTAATCGCAGCATTTGATTTGTGCGGACTCGGAGTGCTTGAGTTGCACTGTTTACAGTATGTTAGGGTTGCAGAGTTATACTACCAGTCTCACTGTATATCATGGCATGAAATTTGAGGGTTATTTTTTTCCCAGTCCAACTGCGGGGGCCATTTTAGTACAGTGAACTCATTGTCATGTTCAAGAAACTAATTTGAAATGATTCGAGCTTTGTGACATGGTGCATTATCCTGCTGGAAGTAGCCATCAGAGGATGGGTACATGGTGGCCATAAAGAGATGGACATAGTCAGAAAAAATTCTCAGGTAGGCTGTGGCATTTAAACAATGCCCAATTGGCACTAAGGGGCCTAAAGTGTACCAATAAAACATCCCCCACACGATTACACCACCACCAGCCTGCACAGTGGTAACAAGGCATGATGGACTCTACCATCTGAATGTCAAATCAAAACAAGACAATAAACAAACTGTTGTTGACCCAATTTAACCATTCACAAAGTTGATGATGGTCTCAGAATCCAGATCTCACATTGAACATCAAGTGGAGATGCAACACAACCCTATTAAAATTGAACAAAAGTAAACCAAATGTTTAATGCTTTTCCCCCCAGTTGTCACTAACCCATTAGAACATTGTTGTTTGCGCGGTGAGCATGGCTTGGCATTTGAATCAGAACTACTCATAAGTCTTCACACACAGGAAGACAAAGCAAACCACAATGCTCTCACTTAACTGTGAGAATGCTCACCTCTCCCACGAACACTATGATGACGCAGTCGAGCTTCTCCTCCGCCGAGAGTTTATCGATGAGTGAATGAAGCGTCTCTGACAGGTATGACTTTACTTTCCGCTTCACCGTGGGGATGCCCATCACCATGGAAACTGCATAGAAAAGAGAAAGAAAAAAACAAACTCAATACGAGGCTCATAAACCCAATTCACAAGCACATCATGCACTCACGCAGAGGGGGTTTCCACAGTGGCATATGGGTGAAGTCCACAAACATTACTCTGCTCTACTACATTGCATCTCAAAGCAACATAAAGGAGATTCTGACTCCTGATACAGTCAGATAATAAGGACCCCAATATACTTAAAGCATAAATCAACAAAGTTTGTTTTAGGAGACAGAAACAATTTGCCAAAGCGAATTTGAAAAGTTTGGTCTGGCTGGTATTCACCATCGAACTAACTCTTGGACATGGAAATCCTGTCGAGGTCAGAATTCCTTCCCATGCCTTATGGTCACATTTGATTAATTTATTCCCACATTTTTGTTAAATCATGGTCGTGTTATACTAATTCATTCCCTCATTTTAATTTAGTTAAATCATGGCCATGGATTAACTTAAGCGAGGGAACAAATTCTTTATTTGTGGCCACGATAAATTATTTTACAAAACATATCAGTGATTTACATTGCCCAAAGAAAAATTAAGCAACGCGACAAAATGTCAGCAACAGACGGGCACTTTTCATTCGAGTGCTGAGGTTGAGCTGCTGTGTGTGTGTGTGTGTGTGTGTGTGTGTGTGTGTGTGTGTGTATGTGTGTAAGCGGATTTGAGTGACAGACTGACAGAAGCTCTGTCACACTTCATCAGCACCAAACAGAAGACAGTAAAATATGTCCCCATTTTGCACTGGTTCCCACTGGAAGGCAGAAAAGAGTGTTTTGAGAAAAAATACCACGTGGTGAAAGAGTAAAGTAGGTTGAGGATGAAAGAGAGAGAGAGAGAGAGAGAGAGAGAGAGCACATATGAGGGAGAGGAAGCTTATCAGACAGAGATAAATCACCTGAGACACCAAGAAAGAAAGAAAATGAAAGAAGAGCATTTTGTAGGGGGGAAAAAAAGCATGTTTTTAAGTTAATGTGCATTCAACACAAGTCATCCTCTCCTACACCACATCTTCTCTTTAACAAAAGTAGCGTTTGGCCTTCAGGCACTCGGTTACATAAAGAGATGCTGAGCTTCACCTTTCTCCAAGAATGCTTTCTTCTCTCTCTCTTCAGCAGCGGTATGAAGTCTTTATGCTTCTCTTTGAGACAAACACTCGACGTGCCTTTAGACTAAACTATGGCAAATTATATCCAGACGGTCTCTAGGGATGTTACAGTGCCTTACTGAGGTGAAAACAATTGTTTGAGACAGTAAGGGATTTCACTGAAACCTTGTATTGTTGAGCATTTTCATTTTCTAATGGGAGCGTCTCTCAATCATCTCAAAGTTGTCAGACCGCTCTTTTTCATTGTGTTTATCAAGAGTTTTCAACCTTTGCAGGTTAAGAGACCCTACATTCAGACTGTTAGCCAACACAGCGACCCCTCCAAATAAATAAATAAATAAATAATTATGGAAAAAAATAAATAAAAAATAAATAAATAAATAAATAAATAAATATATTTTCAATGTGCTGAAAATATAAATTGCATTGCCATTTTACATATCATTTTGCATATTACATTTCAAATTAAATGTTGCTACCCAAATGCTTTCATATTAATAAATTTGACAGCACTAAAAGAAATAGGCTATGACATTACTTGGTTACACCATAAATTGAATTTTCTTTTCTTCATCTTAGTCATCGACTCATAATACTTATTAGACCATTCATTATTGTGCATACAAATGTCAAATATATTTGTATAGATCTCTCCTCCATGGGCCTTTGGCCTTGAATTTTCAACTGTTTGCAAACCCCTGGGTCTACATCAATAAATGGGTGGCGATAAGTGTGAGATATATGGTGCACAGTCTCTAGGGTCTGGACAGAAAATGATGTCCTCATTTACAGCTCTAAAATTATCCTCTCCTAAGCCTAGATCTCATTGAGAAGAGATGGGCCGCTGGCATGGGCACGCAGTCTTGCCACACAGAAGAGGCGACTGAGATTACTGCTAGCCAATAGGGGAGGTCCATCTGTGAGTTTGGAGGATGTGGGCATAAAGCATGGGTGGGCTTGAGCGGTCCAAAAACAACAAGTTCTCACTGTTTTTATATGCTCAGAAAAACAACCTCCTCATGTGACAGAGGTCAGTCACACAAGCTTTTTTTTTACATTCTCTAACGTCATTGTTGTCATTCACTCCAGTCTGTCCCAGCATAGGATGTCGCTTGTAATAAAGCCAACTAGATGTTGACTTAACTCATCTGTCGTTAACCCACATACTGCCTGATACAGAATAGTGTGGTACTATGTGTCATACAAACAAGAACAAAATAAAGCTCACCACAAAAGAGCACGACAGCTCCAGGCTTATGGTATCGACTAGCCAGATCAGTGGATTGGTCACTACACCAGTAAAAAACAAAATCCAGCCAATCAAGCAACCACTATTGACATTGAGGGGTACACAGAACCCACAATATTCACATTAATTTTCAAGCAATTCTTAAACTTTTACATTTTATCTTCTAATCTTGTGCATTTGGTTACAATCAGGACCACTATGCTTTGTTGTAGTCAGCTAATGGACACATTAAATACTGCAGAAATGCATTAGAATCCCTGTTTATTTCCTTCTTCCTCAGTCTCATTTCCTTCAGACAATTTATTTGTGTTAATTTTAGTGTTGCACATCATTGCACATCTGCACTGGTACTGTAGTGGAAAGTGGTGCAAAATGCAACTAACCACATATGTGTGCACAGAGAAGAAAAACACATTGGCTTTACAACTCAAAGGGTGGAGAAAATGATTTTACATTTTTATATTTAGTCCACTCCTGTGTTTCATGTGTCGAGCTGGAAAATTTAGAGTTACGATGTGCATTTAGAATGTTGCCAGTTTAGTTTCTAAATCAATGTTCATGATTAACAACATTAGAATGTAAAGATACCGTACCTGTGAAAAGTTTGGAAACATTTTTTTTTTTTTTTAATGACAGTATTTTTTGCTCACCGATGCTGCCTTTATTTAATTGAAAATGCAGTACAAACAGTAATATTGTGAAATATTACAACAATTTAAAAAAATTGTTTGGTTTTTTTTTTCATATGAATATACTTAATTGACTTTTTTGCTGTGACGCAATGCTTAATTTTCAGCATCCAGGCTCCAGTAGAAGACTCCAGTCTTCAGTGTCACATGATCCTTGAATATGTCGATTTGCTGCCGAAGAAACATTTCTCATTATTAATACCAACGTTGAAAACAGTTTGTGCTGCTTAAAATTTTTGTGGAAACAATGGTACCATTCAAACATTCGGGGTAAGATTAAAAAAAGAGAGAAAAATGAATACATTTACTCATCAAGGATGCATTAAATTAATCAAAAGTGAAGACATTTATTCATTTACAAAATATTTCTATTTACTAAATGCTTTAATACATTTCATTAATAAATAAATGCAAATAATTTATTATTTCTATTCATCAAAGAATCATGATAAAACATAAAAGTATCACCATTTCCACAAAAAAATTAAGCAGCACAAACTGTTTTCAACATTATTAATAATAATAATAATAATAATAATAATAATAAGAGTTACCCGAGCAGAAAATCATCATTAGAAGACCTTAAAGACTGATGAATCACATTTTAAATTATATTAAAATAGAAAACAGCTATTTTAATCTGTAATAATAATATTTTGTAATATTCCTGTTTTTACTGTATTTTTATATTAATTAAATGCGGCCTTGGTGAGACTTGCATGCAAAAAAAAAAAAAAAAAAACCTTTTTCCAAACTTTTGACAGGTACTGTATGAAAAATAAATATTCAATTTACATGAAACAATACTATTAGTGTTTTTTTTAAAGAAAGCTGTAATCTTTACATTGTAAACTTTAACTTTCACCAGATTGCGGTCATCTAATACTCAAATTGTAGATTCAGTCAGTGTAACAAATGTTTTTCTTCCTTTTGTCTTATGACGAATTCTGGAAGTGTGCTGGGTTCTTGCTTTGTATATGATGTAAAATTTGGGTTCTAAAGCAAAACCAGTTTGATTTAAAGCACTGATTCAAAATCAAGACTGCAGTATCACGTTTCGTAAGTCAACAAAAGATTTCAGAAACCCCACACCCCATTCTTGCAGCTTCCACCATTACTTCTTATGTGTTCATGTCCTCTTACTTCCCACTTCCCATACTACAACTGTCCTCTCCATAACCCTTGCTGAACCCAAGAGGGCTTGATTCCTCTAATGAGAATCTGATAGGCCTGCTGTGGGTGTGTGAAGGAGGGACAAAAGGTCTCCGGGCCTCCATTCAGGGCCGCTGGCTGCAGCTTCAGCTCTGACACACTGACCAGCCTGTGACAGCCCGTAGATTACGGGCGTGTAACACAATACGACAAGCAAGGACACGGCAGACTGCAACACCCCGCTGCTTGGCTGAAATCGTGAGAAATGGAGGGTGAAAAACAAATCTCACGTGACAGCTCTTAACAAGGCCATTACAGTGATTAGAATTTGTCAAGTGAACTTGGCTGAAGCCGAGCTCAGACTACAGGAGATTTTAAAGGGACATATCATGAAAATCGGACTTTTTCCATTTTTAACTACTATAATCGGGTCCCCAGTGCATCTATCTACCCAGAAAACATGAAAAGTGACAACCAAATTACTTTGTTTTGGTAAGCCTTTCTCTGCAAGCATGTCAAACAATATGCCGATCTGATTTTGCTCCCCTGCTGACATAGAAAGGGGATCTTTTTATAATATTACCGCCCCTTAATCTGCACGTTTCCACCCACAGCTCGCCATTTGGTTTACAGGTGTAACTAGTTCTAACACAATGGCAAAAGCTCGAGCAGAGCATGCAAACTGCCCTGTCCATGGCTGAACAGGCGAGCACAGAACACTATTTGACTGAAAAATGTCACAGCTGTCTTATAAAGACCTCAGGGAACTTTGTCAACTTGTGTAAAAGTTAAACATGACGGTGCGTGCAAGTCAATGAGATAAATCAATGTAACTCCACAATACTAGAGTGCTATCTAGTTTAATACTAGAGTGCTTATTTAAATATATATATATTTGATTTTGTTTTTGGAGTCTTTTAGAATAGGTTTTCATGCATGAATGCTCAAAACATTAGGGCTGGATATTGTCACAAATTTCCCGATTCGATAGCTTGCACTTCAATTCGATTTGAACTAAACTAAACAGGTAGTCAGTTGGTATTACATTACTATAATATTGAGAATCAGTGAGGCTTATGAAGACCCTCCTTCCAAAAAGCACAATGTGCTCTGATTGGTCGGCTGAACCAGAGTGTTGTGATTGGTCAACCGCTTCAAGCTATTTCTGAAATTAACTGCAAGTTTCAACACACTACTAAAGCAACTCAACCAGGCATCGCCCCATTTTTTTTTTTTGCATATGTCTATTAAAATTATTTTAATGAGGAATATTGTGACAAGTTCCCAGAAGAAAACTAAAGACTACAATCGAGGCGTTTCAGTGAGTTTCAGAAACTGTGCTTTCTGATATAGCAATAACTTTTTTTTTTTTTTAAAGTGACTGTGCTTTGTAATTTAGCATACTTTTTTGTAATCAAACAGCAACATTACACAGTAATAAACTCTCTTTAGAGAGTGCCATTTCAGTTGGTTTATCAGACGTTTGATAATATCACTGATGACTACAAGAAAATTTATAAAGTTGAAGTAAGTTGTTTCGCTCACCTCCGGTACGTCCCTGGCCCACCAGTACGGCGGGGTGCAGACTGCCTTCATTGTTGAGCAAGTGAGGAAGATGGTGATAGATATTTGGCACCTGGAGGGGCTTCTTGTGAGCCAAATCTTTTAACAACTTCTGCGTCTCATCTGTAAGAAACCAGAGTATTTCAACATTATTAAAGGATGCATAAATTATGTGAATGTTCTCATTATCATATAAGAATGATGTTCCTTGGAAACATAATCAACAAGTATTTGCCCTAAATTAATGTTTGGCTTGGGGGTGAGTGTTTCTTCTGTTGTGGCTGTAACTCTCCAGCACATAAAAAATTGTTTATGGGCAAAAATGTGCTTGAGAATTACAGCCACATCTCTCAAATGACTTTGATGATGTCTTGTAAAATGTTAACAACAGAAGAAACATACACACACCGCAAGCCAAACATTAATTTAGGCAAAATGTGCAAAACTGAGCTGAAATTACAACACTCTATTAGTAATGGATGCTGAAAGCATCATCAAATTAGTCAAAATATTGAGCTTACAATCAGGTTCTGGAAGTTAATATCCCATTCATTTTCTTCATATGGGAATTGATTTTGAACGTAAAGTTTTAAACATTTAGTCCTCTACACTAGTAGTTCCCAAAGTGGGTGCCAACAACTAGCTAGGGGTGCAGCAGAATCAGAGGCTTTTTTCAAATGTAAACACCCTAAAATAACAAATAATAACTTTTTACAACACATTTAAAAATATATATCAAAACACCACCATGAGCATGTCCAAACGAAAATACACAAGCGAAAAAACACTGATATATTTCATTCATATTTAAATTGCCCCCTCAGCTCTGCCCTTTGAACTGATGCACACTCAATTTTATATTTCACGCAGAGATTAACAGGATAGGGCAAAAATGGAGCTAGCGTCTCCAAAAAGGCAGCGCCTGGCTGTGGGCCCCGATTTAAGAGTTGCTCTATCCTCAATCTACCAATGCCCACGACAGTTCCACGCAGACATTTTAGTTTCATTTTTAAGTTATAAGGTCAGGTTTGAACAAAGCAAATGAGAAAACTAAAGAAAAAATTTAATTGGAGTTGGTTACTATTATTTAAAGAGTTAAATATAAGTCTAAAACAAGTTGTTCCAATGATTTGGTTCAAATCACTTCCTGAAACAATAGTTGTCACAGAATACACTAGTCTGTTAACAATGAGTTGAATGTTCTTGTTCACTTTTATTTATTTTGAAGATTTGAGGTTAATTGTTGCTTTCAGTACGACAATAAAATACACACAAAGTGACATTCAAAAACTCACACGCTGTCAAAATGACATTCAAAAACTCACACGCTGTCAAAATGACATTCAAACTCACACGCTTTTAACACCAAATAAAGCATATAAACAGTACCTGAGATTATAATACTATCTGGTGTTGTTCCAGCCGCAACAAGATAGAAACCGTTTCTAAAATAGAATCTTGGCGTGTCGATGTCGTGGCTGGTTAGGACAAAAAACTCTGATTAACATGGAAAAGATACCTTTTATCGGGTGTCGCGGCACGCTTGGTTAGGACACGGTGTTAGGTCTCTTATGATGCATACATAATAAATTCATGCTGCTGTTTATGCTTTATTTGATGTTTGCTCAACTAGATTTAATTTTATATAAGTACACAAGTACATTTAGTTTAATTGAAAAAAAAAAAAAAACCCACTAAAAAGATCAAAAAGTTTGGGAACCACTGCGCTACACTCTCAAACCACTTATTTTACATTTATATGCAATAAACAAAAAATGTTTTTTCTATATACATAACCAACATGGATAGTTTCATGTCTCCACTGTTTCCATTAAGGTTATATTGTTTGCAAAGCAACACAGGTTTGTAATTCTTCACTTCATTAAAGATTTTCCAATTTTCAAACACTACTTTTTGCTTTAATGTTCAAAGTCATAATTCACTTCATAGCTCGGTTGCTTTGGTTCATGGCTTATAAGTCTTTAGCGAAGACTTTCTGAAAATATCAATAGGAAAAATAAATAGGAAAAATTCTTCCAGAACCAAGGACACTGAAAAAAAAAGTGGACGTAAAATTTGGCATTATATAAAATTGTGGAGATAAATTAATTCTTTGAAGAAAGCAGCTATACAAAGAATATATTTGTTCCCACTAATTTGTCACCCACAACTGTTAACATGCAGTAACCTGAGAAGTTGGCGAGAGCATCTTTGCTGCCGTTGGTCTCTGCGATGGCACGTCTGAACTGCTCGAGGATGGCGTTGAGCTCAGAGGAGCGCTGAAGGGTTCGGTGCTCTGCCACGCGCAGACGCTCCCTCAGGGCATGAAACTCCCTCTGATAGGCTACCAGCTTTTCTGCAGAGAGAATAGGAGGGGTGGACAGAGAGAGAAGGATAACGTTAAGCAGCGAAGCACTGAAGCTGTGTTTAAGTCATCACACGGGAAAGTTGTGCCATTTTTTTAATTGAGTTAAAGGTGCAATGTGTACAAATTTCTGAGTCCGTGTTGCCCAGTGACAGCCCCAAAACATCACCGCTCTAGAGGAGATCTGCAAGGAGGAATGGGCCAAAATACCAACTACAGTGTGTGCAAACCTGGTGAAGACTTACAGGAAATGTTTGACCTCGGTCATTGCCAACAAAGGTTATGTTACAAAGTATTGATTTGAACTTGTTACTGACCAAATACTTATTTTCCACCATAATTTACAAATAAATTCTTTAAAAATCCTACAATGTGATTTCCTGGATTTTTTTTTCATTTTGTCTCTCATAGTTTAAGTGTACCTATGATGAAAATTACAGGCCTCTCTCATTATTCTAAGTAGGAGAACTTGCACAATCAGTGGCTGACTAAATACTTTTTGGCCCCACTGTACAATGAAAACTGCAAATATAAAATACAAGCTATTAATATATAAAATCAATACTACATTAACACTACTCTATGAGAGGTACGATTAATACTCTTAATTGTTTTTTAATTATTCACAATAAAAAAAAATGTGATAACTTAAATGCTGTCTGATTTTAGAGAAAAATCTAGTCCATCGGAGACGTCCAATAGATTTTTTAGACGGGCCGAATAAACACCACAGACAATGTATTAACCATGGGAAAATCTCAGAGTAAAACTGGGAGTTGTTTTGCTTTTAAACTCTCTTGTTTTTTTTCAGTGATTATTTTAAATCTTTTTTTTTTTTTTTTTTTTGAAAAAGCACTTTGAATTGCCATAGTGTATGAAAAGTGCAATATAAATAAACTTGCCTTGCTTTAAAGGTTAAGAATGAACAAGCACCCAACATTAAGGGTAAACTGTTACAACAAACACTGAGTGGGTGAGTTGAATCATTGTGGAATATGTGAACAACTTGCATTTATATATAAATGAACACAAATTAAAATGAGAATAATTTATTTTTAGAGAGAGAGAGGAACAAACAAAAAAACTAGTGCCAACTCTTTTCCAACCTTATTGTGCTGAACATTATTTGCATGTGCATTTTCATATATCCAAGGCAAGGCTTGCTATTTAAAATATTTGGATGAAGCACAAAAATATATAATAGTGTTTCTAACAGTTGGTTGCAAAAAAAAAAAAAAATAATAAAAAAAAAAAATCAACAAACATCAACATGGGATTGTCTCAAGTCTAGGGCTAAAGCATTATTTTCAGGAACCAGACCTGCCTTTACCTGATTCCATTAGTTTCTGTGAAACATGGGTTTCCAAGAAAGCTATCTTACTGCTGCTCATCTTGAAGAAGAGAGAGAGACAGCTTGTGGTCTGAGGCAGAGCCAGTGGGAAGTGCCCTCTGCTACAGCAGATTAGCCTCGAGTAACACCGCCTGCTTTATTTGCAGACTCAACATGTTATGAGTCAGACCTCACCCTGAAACAAGACCTTGCATTTAATGCATCTGAAAGGGACTCAGAGCTTCAGGAAGCTCAATGTTTTGACTCTACAAACAAAGTAGGCTGTGCCTGTGGTTTGTATCTGACTGAAACAAACAAGTCAAATCAACTTTGATTTTCTTCTGACGATCAGATAACTCATGGGCTCAGGTTTTGCGAGGATGTTCATGTCCAATTTTTCGCAAGAACATCGATCTGTGTGTAGAAATGTCAGATTCTCTTCATACAGACGAGAGCCTGATTGCTTTGAACTTCTGCTATGACAGCTGTAAGAATAACTGCTTGTTTGACCTCAGCAAGTCTCTCACAGGTTTCCTCTTGATCTCACTTTTATCCCAAGATTCTACATTCCCAGGGAACTCTCCATCTTACAACCGAGGGGGTTTTGCAAAGGATCCAGAATGTCAGCATTTTAGTTTCTCCTTCAGCTACAGTAGGACAGGGTTTATAATAGGGTTGTCATGATGAGGACATTTTCAAACCGGTATAAGAACTTACGACAACACCGGTATTACAGATGACAGGGGAGGAGGGCGAAAAAGAACTGCTTTTGAATTTGCGCTAGCTTTTCCCTTTTGCTTTTGAGTTCACAATCACGGCCATGAGGCAGCCGCTTTCTATATGGGGGGTATTGAAATCGCTTTTGAAGCTGCTTTTGATTTTCACAGATGACTGATTTGTGCTGTGTTCGGATCTTAACACTGTTATTAAGCCTATATCATTTCAATGATATTACTATTATTAATAATAATTTGTATTGTTATTAGTGTCATTGTAATGTGCCATAAAAAAACAAAATAAAAAATGCTGACGAACAAGGATGCCGTTTTCATCTTGGATGTAAAAGAATGATGCGCCTCTTTAATAACAAGCAATTTTTAAAAAAAATTTGTGAATAGATTTGATTTTTTTCTTTTTGTAGTGTTATGTAGTGATGTTGTTATGAAATTAGAGAAGGTCCTAATATTAGTTGAATAATAATACTAGCCTTATAATAATAATAGTGATTTAATACATTAATGGGTTAAACAAGCCAATTATCATCTTGATATTGTCTAAGGAATCAGCCATTGGTGATATGTCTGACTGTTGTCGATTCACAATACTATCACCTATCAGCATTCGGCACACATCACTGTAAAAATTAAAACGGTTTTACAGACTTAAAATGTACGGTAATAAACCATATTTCATTATCTGATAAAATGTTGATTAACCAACCTTTTGAAAAATGTATTTTTGTATGTTTTGTACCATTGTAATGTACTGACAATCAACAATCATCACAGCAGTGATGAGTCACATGAGCAATCAAAGCTCATCACAAGTAGTCTTCCATAAGGAGGTTAATACTTATAGAAAGAAGCGGCTCGGTCACACAGGAAATTGTGGGAATGTCAATTTACGGTTTTTCACTGTAAATTATACAATGAGTTGTTCTTTTTCACTTTCAAAAACTGTAAATTTAACGGTATTTTACAGTAAAATGATATCACAGTTATTTACCATACACACACACATATATATATATATATATATAGTACGGAAACTTTTTATTTTAACTAATTAACAGTTTTGCACTGTAGCTTTTTTACAGTCTTTTACCTTTAAAAATCACGATTATTTTCTACAGTAACATACTGTATTATTCCTTTCTTGCATTTAGGGTATCTGTCTTCGATGCACTTCTCTATGATTGGTTTTAAATGGGGGTTTCTTCAACTATGGACATTTTTTTTTTACGGGTTGAATCTTAAAATAAATTAAAGAACCTAGTAATTTGCATACTTAATAGTCCAACAATGTATATATAGTATGATGACAACGGTTGTCTTTGACACTACTTTTTGAAAAGAACCTTTATCGGTGGTAAAACTGCTGGTTGTGCTGGAATAAATAATGTACCACATGGAAAATGGAAAATGTTCCATATGTTCCAATGTTTCTGCGAACATATTAAGCAGCAAAAAAACTGCTTTCAACATTGATACTAATAAGAAATGTTTCTTGAGTTGCATATTTGAATGATTTCTGATGGATCATGTGAAACTGAAGACTGGAGTAATGATGCTGAATTTAGCTTTGCCATCACAGGAAAAAAGTACATTTTAAGATATATTAAAATAGTATTTTTTTTTAAATGGTAATAAAATTCAAAATATTTGTTTTTTAATGTATTTTTGTCAAATAACTGCAACCATAGGAGACTTATTTGAATAAAATCTCAGTGACACTTTCTCAATCCAGTAGACACTCCCTCCTCAGTACACTGAGAGCATTCATGACGCAAAAAAAAAACAGCTCCTTTGGAAATTTTCATGAAATTGACGTCAGAACCTGAGCACTTTACTGCCTGTGTTTACATACCTACATACGCCTCTGCAGTATTACTAACCTCCCTGTCCTAATAAACAACATACAGTTTCACATGATTTATAGAAGTCTTATAGTTAAAGTAGCAATGAGAAAATCATTAAAAATCTGTGTAATTCACGCAGCTAAAACGGAGCTTGTTTCAACAGTCTTCATTTATCTGTCTGTCTAGGACTAGGTATACATGAAATATAATATAACATAATACAAACATAATTAAATGCATAATGTCGCCTCAGTGCAAACGCACTCCGAGGCCAACTGTAGTCTGGATAACATGTAATGAACAACGCCAAGCTACTTCTAAGTCCAGGTCGGTTAGTCCAACTTCACAAAACAGACAATTTTTTTTTGCATGATTGACAAATTATTGTATCAGTCCAAACGAAATCACAAATTAAAAGTGCAGGTGTTTGGTTTAGATCAATCATGGTTCTCAACCTTTTTGATTCAAAGCCCTAAAGCTGTCATAGGCTAAAATATTTTTTGGTTTCTTTCTGTAATGGAAAAACTGCTTGTTTTCTAAAACTGTTTATTAACAGAAGTACAGACTATGTTTCATTTAGTGATTTCTGAAGTTTCAAGAACTGTATATTCTTGCTCTAAAGGGACCTTGGGTTTGAGAAATATAAAATAAACTTAGTATTATTATTAGTATTCAATAAAATAAAGGAACATCGTAAACATATGTACACATATATACATATATGGAGAGATGGGAGGAAAAAGTATGTCAAGACACTTGTGTTCTTGTGTAAAGGTTTGTTTCCTCAAGAACACACTTGTGTTCTTGCACAAATGTTTGTTCCCCCAAGAAACATTTTTCTACAAACATGTCCCTTTAGGGGCTCAGTAGATTTTTATTTTTAATCTTGATTTTTATACTCTTTTACATTTTTAATTAGATTAAATTTAGAAGTTTAAATATATTAAGAATACATTTATTTTAATATTGTACGTTAATTCTTTATGGGTCATTACTTTGTACTTTTAAAGCAAAGTATTTATAGTCTCACACACAAAGATTCAGATAATCGATAATCGCTTTAGCATCAAATTGCACCCCACT